TATTTACTGCACTTTTAGCGGTTCTCTTATGCTGTATCCGTGCCCTAAGCATAAGAGAAGTGTCTAGGATAGGGCTGTTAACCCATCCTTTTAGTAATTTCATTAGATTACCTACTACTATAAGATACACTACGTAGAAGTGGAACTTACTATATATTAAGTTTGCTATTTTTCCCTTGCCTGCTATATAATCAAAGGGAGCATAGCTTAATTTATAGAATGCTCGGTTTACGATCAAGTGCTATCAAGTATTCTACCTAAATCAATTTCCAAATACAAGTGTGAAATAGAACCCCATGCGTTGAGAATTCCTGTTCTCTCAGGCCTATATCTAGCTAACGTCCGTCCCTACGTGCCAGGATGCATAGTCCAACTGCATACAATTTCTTCTTGGTGCCAAGATTACACCCACTATTCTAAAGCGTTCTTTTTTGAGTTAAACCTATTAGGAGCATTGAATAAAAAAGACGCGGACATTATATGCTAAGCCAAAGCTTGAGAGCCTCCTCGTACTTTAATACTCCAAGACCAGTAACAGCATCCCATCCAACAGTGGTCGGATAGCCAGTATCGTTACAACCGCTATTACTCTCCCCTTGGGTAATGTCTCGAATAATACGATCTGCGTATTTGTATAGAACAGGATTGATAAACCCAACAACAGGTTTGCCTACGCTCAAACGCTCCAAATTAATGCGCGTAATGAGAGCGCCAACATATTGTACTGACACAGAGGTCCCACCTACTTGGTAGACGACTCCATCAATAATGATGAAGCTGGATATAGGTTCACCAAGGGCGGAAAGGTCGGGAAGCCCGCGCCCAGAGAGACTGCGCACGCCATCTGCGCCAAAATCCGAGATGACATCTGCCAACAAAGTATTATTCGCAACAAGAGGAGCTAGCCCTGTGAATCCGGGCTTATCGACTGATACCGTCTGGAGGTAGTTACTAACAAAAGGCTCCTGCCACCTAGGCCGTGCATAGATAGCGGAAATCCCACCTCCACTCATATGATAGCCTAGCTCCGGATTTTCGCTCGGCTGACGGATATCAACTCCATCTTTTAGCATTGTCGCGCCAACAGCAGTTACATAGGGACAATTTGCCGGCGTTAGGACGTTCCAGCGATCTTTATTAGAACCCCAACATTGGGAAGTGTACCCAGCGACCCCTTGATTGCCTGTTGCCGCGAGGATTGTTGTGCCTTGGAGTGCGAGTTTCATAAATTCGTTACACTGCCTGCGCTGGAAAGAACTATCCGGAATCCAATTAGGGATGCTAAAAACAGCCATTTTAGTACATTATAGACTTACATAGGATAAAAGTCCTCTGATGCTCCCCAAGCACTGACAAGGACAGATGGCGGCTTCACTCCTCCACACTGTCTTTGACCTTTATATCCGCCTGGGGCCGAATCCGGGTATTGCGCATCCCAGCCTGGCAGAGGTCCAGTCACATTATAAGCGCTGTACGTGCAGTACGACTCTACAAAATCTCCTTAGTCCCTCGATCATCGGAAATATAGCCAGCGTCGTCTTACCGTCAAAAGCCTCCAGCATGCTATTCGCACCGCCCGTTAAGGTCGCATTGGCCTGAATAACCGGATCATCCGGGCTGACAATCGTTACTGTATTTGGAGCCACCAAGGGTACAGTCAAGGAGATATCTAAAAAGAGCTCACCAGGACGCGTATCCGTAGATCTTGTGTCGGCTGCACCATCGATAAGAATCTGCTTAGGTGCGGTGCCCTTTGGCACTTCAGGAGCATAAGCCGACCAAAAGGTGTCAAGATCCTCTTGCTTGTACTTGTCATTTCCGCTGGAGTAGATGGCGTGTGTATAAGCGGGATGGAATGGCGCGGGTCTATGAGGGACTCCATAGAGATCTCGAATACATGCCGGTTCTAATGCAGAGTGATTGTTGCTGCATGGCACAGTGCTTTTAAGGCTCGATTCTACTGGAAGTAGTACTGAGGCATTCTGCTGCTCGACTGGTGTACCCCTCTTTCGCAAAGCGTTTCTGCTAGCATCTATTTGGTGGGATAGAGTAATTCCAGGCCATACAAAATCGACATGTTCTCTAACGCTTGCAGGCACGTAGTATGCCTCTGTCGATGCTATAGTACGCCCGGAATCATGGTGATAGTTGTGGAATTCGGTCTTTAGCAGGTTTTCTAACTGCTTTACAGTTGCTGAAAATTCAATCCAGCCTTTGTTTCTAGACTGTGTGATAGGATGTGCAAGGTCGGCTGCTGGAATAGATTCTTTTAGCCACTGCTGAACCATTATAACGGATTCATCGCTTGGTCCAAAGAAGCTATAAACTTCTTCTTGTGTCCAGTGCTGGCCGTACAGTGGCGAGTCTGGGTCTGAAATAGCCATTAGGAGCTCTTCACCTCTCTCTAATCCGTTCTGCGTAAGGGCAATCCGAATAGGATGAATAATATCTGGTTCTAGACGATCGCCCTTCTGCCACCCACATGGCAAAGTGCGACGTTCTTCGTGTAAGACATGGCCGTGGTGTGCTGGGGAGGCGCAAGAGAAAGTAATTCCGCTGAAAAAAAGCCACACAATCTGGTTGAGACTAGTTGATACCATAATATCTCTTGCGTACTAAAGAGTTGTTGAGGAGGAGAGGTTAATCTCAGATAAAGTGACTTCAGTGGACAAAAGATAGAATTTTTCTGTAAAGATCAATGCTTGCTCGAGCTCAGCTTTTATCTACCCATATCGGATGTATAATTCTCCAGCTCCGTCTTATCATAGTAGCTTACAACGCTACATGGCACAAGTTATGTGTGTGGGGGCGCGCTGACATGAAGATTAGGTTCTTCTTCGGATAATAAAACAACATTTATTACAGAGATAATCTACACAATCACAACTCTTTATAGTATAGGGCTTACTCTTCACCCTGGCCTGTATTGTACCCTTGCTAGTGGCCCACATACATTATTTCTGCCATGTAGCATACTTAGTAGTATCGGCCCGTTGGGGCTGACTCTCAGTTCCAGTTCCTTCACCTTCATTTCCTATTTTAGCTTAAACTTCAGCGATGAGTACAGGCTTTGCCTCGACAGTTACAAATAGCTAGCTTGTGGTTCAAAGGGACCGTCGCCTGTCCGATGAGGTTCTTTTGTATTAGTGAGCGAGACTCAAACATCGTTACAAAAATTACCTTACTTAACTTAAGCAAGCTGCCAAGCCGGCTTGTGGCGGAAAGATTCAAGCCCGTATCAAGGTCTTTATCCTAGCGTGAACGCGCTATCCTTGCTTTTAGGGGGTATGTTGGCTGATTATGGGCATCAAAGCCGGCGCTATACTATGCTACATGGCAGAAATAATGTATGTGGGCCACTAGCAAGGGGACAATACAGGCCAGGGTGATAAATANAGAGTACTATCTATACTCTATAGAGTTGTGATTAGTCCGAAGAAGAGCCTAATCTTTATTTTAGCGCGCCCTTACACACATAACTTGTGCCATGTAGCGTTGTAAGCCGGCGCAATAATTCTTACCATACTTGGTTAATTTTTGCTATCTTAGCTTTTCTTCTAAATTACTAAGTTTTTCTTAGATAGAAGCTGTTGCAAATGAATAGAAGAGCGTTTGAGAAGAATTAACTAAAAGAAGGCCATAACAGAATAAGCCATAGTAGGGTTAATAACGCGTTTTTGGTTAGATTAGAGGGTAATATGATAGGGGTGCAAGAGCTGCAGTATAGATACGTATTGCGCTTGTCTGTATGCAAGGATGCTGCGAACAACCTAAAGATCTGGAAGAGAAAGTGTGCCGTCACACCGTGCGTCCCGGCACGTAGGAATGAACGTTAGTTAGCAAGGTAACTAGTCTAAAATATGATCACTTTGAATAAGTACGTTATAAGTAACAAGGATGCGGAAATATGTCTTCCTTTAAATCTAACCACGAGTGACTAGAAACTACTTAGGATTACGTTAGAGGAAGCGGTCGTTGCAGGGCTAAGGATCACGTAGATAGCTTCCTAAAGGTTGTTATCGACTGATATTCGATTACTGATAGACAGAACTTGGCCGAAAAGCTGAATCCAGTGACGACCAGCATAGCAGAAGACATTTGAGTTACAATTTCAATTAGGATTTTAATAACGGCTAGGTATCGAAAGAGAAGCTGCTGGCTGTAGGAGTTGTGAACTTTGAAGATACAGGTTTAGGCTCGCGACTAAGAAGGGGCTAAAGTAGGCTAGGAAGTAGAAGTCGAGCGCACAGAGTAGACGGGTGTAGACTAAGGGGTTATTAGCTGGGTATGGAGATGTGGTTAGAGGTCTACCCATTTGCCAGCCTATACTAGATATCTTCATGCACGACGAATCTCCCACTGTACATTTGTGATGCTGACCTCCTCACCAGCTTTTTCATCGTAATCGTACCATTCACCATCAGGTAGCTCTATGCCAGAAAACTTGGTGCCGGATTCGATACCCGTGGCAAGGAATTCGCCTTCAGCTTTGAATTCAGTGAACTCCAATCCTCTGCAGTCGAACTCGAGTATATTGATCATCTTGGGGGGGTCACTTTGCGGATAAGATGCGGGCGCAGCCTTGATATTGGCTGAGTGCTCCCTCTGTTGAAAGCATCAGCATTGCGGTATAACAGAGTAAGCATGTGAGTAGAGCAACCTTGCAGTTCTTGCATTTCCATACGAAATTTGCCTCGCCTTTACTGCCGCTTTGCTCGTTCATCTCAAACCGGTTGACTGTTACGAAATTGGGGTGTATCTCGCGACATGACGTGCATTGAACTTTGAAGGTATAGAAGAAAGGTGCTTCTTCCGTATCGTTGGGGCGGAGGTCTGTTACCCTGGGGTGAGTTTAGTACGCAGGGTGTTTTGGTCGAATCATGAGGGGAAAGTTTACCCATTGAGTTCTGCTTTCAATGCTAGTGCAAGCACCATGTTGAGTGTGATGGCGACGTTCTAGACGTGTGATGTTGCAACCTGCGACGACAACTTGGCGATTCCTCGACGACGCGCCCCGCCCCGCCCCCACTACGACTTAGTTGCTGGGCCAGTCCGCATTAGGCATAGTGCCGCTATCGTGCATTTCACCGTCTTATAATCTTTCCTGAGCGAACACCCCTGACAGACAGACAATCGCCAGCCCGTGGAACTCATCCCTCAGGCAGAGAACCAGGCAATCTACCATTGGCTCTCGACACGATTCACGCTTCTGGTACTTCTCCTCCGCCCTCTGTTGATTGGCAGTCTTCACTTTGATTGCTGGACTTGTACTGCCCCATTGTTCCTTTGGGACAAGACCATCTACAGGCAGAGTGCGCTGGACGTGTCGGCATTCCCCATCACCCTGGCCTCTGGCAGTATCCAACTTTCCATCAACAGTCTCCGCAATACTGCACTTTGGACGGCAGCGACGCCTCGCCTAAAACCCTGACCGCCTTTTGATAACTCGACGCCCTCACCATGGTCAAATTCTATCCCTCCCTCACGCAAGAACATATTGACTTCATCACCAAGCAACCTCTCTTCTTTGTTGCCAGCGCGCCGTGGGCGGGTGAGCACGTTAACATCTCACCCAAAGGACACCCATCCAAGTCGTTTGCCGTTCTAGGACCCAACACAGTAGCCTACCTCGACGCTACTGGCAGTGGCTGCGAAACCATTTCACATGTTTACGAAAATGGCCGTGTGACGGTCATGTTTTCCTCGTTTGGTCCTTCACCACAGATCATGCGGCTGTTTTGCAAGGGCAAGGTGGTGGAGAAGTGGGATCAGTACTTTAGCCAAATCCGAGCAAAGATGTCGACGGAAAACGGAGATGATGTTGATATCGCCGGTGTAAGGGCGGTGATTGTGCTCAAGATACAAAAAGTGCAGACGAGCTGTGGTTTCGGAGTGCCACAAATTGCCAATGCAACGACTGGTGGCACAGACGCTGTCGGCGACGCTGTTGCTTTTGCCGATCATGAGCCTGATAGGCACGATGGTCATGGCTTCAAGCCCCGGGACACCATGGAAGGCTGGGCTCGCAAGATGATAGAGAAGCAAGAGCTGGGTGACTACCAAAAGCAGTTCAACCATCGATCTCTCGACGGCCTTCCTGGGCTGATGAGCGTACGACGTGCATACGATGAAAACCTTGCTGTCGAAGATACAAAGGCGTGGCTCAGAAAAGTCAGCAGGCAGGGGGACGCCGTGGCTCTGGGTGTTGGTCTGGGTGTCTTGCTTATGATTGTGCTCAGTCTGATTGGCATCTTGAGCATCAAGCCCATATTTCTCCAGCGGATACTGAATTTCCAGCAAAGGCAAATGGGTCTGCCGGAGGATCACTCTTGGAAGAGCGAGCTTTGAGGTGGTCGATGCAAGGCTATTTTGTAAAAACACCGCTTTATCTTGTGTTCAACGTCACTCTATCCAAAGTTTTTGTTTCAGTGCCAGCCGCATGAGTCGAAGTAATTCTGTGCAACACGGTGAAGCCTGTGGGTGAAATGGTATGGGTATGTACATACTTGAATGCGTGCATGACCTCAGCGGCACTAGCACCTCACCGCCTGGCAATACTACCAATCCAAGCCTCGGTCGAGGCGGGACCAATATTTGTTGCGATACCCCAACACGCACGCGGAAGCATCTCAGGCAAAAAAAAAACCCCCCGCCATGGAGGAATACAAAGCCAAGTACGCCATCCATGAGGCGTGTCGAGAAGGCCAAGGTCTGCTCAACAACCATTCTCCCAGGCAAGCCATGGTCTTCTAACCAGTGCCAGCATCCCGCGTCGCCTCTCTGCTCGCCGCCAACCCCAAGCTTGCATCTCTCCGCGACCCAGACGACCGTCTTCCCATTCATTGGGCCGTGTCGTACAACCACTTCGCCATTGTGCAGTCCCTTGTGCAGACCAAGTCATTCGATCCTGACGCCACCGATGGTTCCGGCTGGACTCCCTTGATGATGGCGTGCTCACGGAAAGACGCCGAACAAATCGTAGACCTGCTGCTGTCCAAGGACGCCGACGTCAATGCGAAGAACAATAATGGTCAGACTGCTCTGCACTTTTGCGCCTCAAAAGCCAACCTCGACATTGCCCGTACATTGCTGGCACAAAAGCCCCCAGCGTCAGCACGAGTCAAGGACAAACGTGGGCAGCTACCGCTACATCGCGCTGCAGCAGTGGGCAGTGTACCCATGATGAAGGCACTGGTAGACGCCAAAAGCCCCCTCAATGCCACGGATACCGACGGCATGACGCCGCTGCATCATGCCGTGAGCGAGGGACACGGAGATGCAGCACTGCTGCTCTTGACTCTAGGCGCCGAGTTCGACAAGCAGGACAATGACGGCCATGTCCCTCTGGATCTGGCGCCAGATGCAAAGACGAGGAGTTTCATTTTGCAGGCGGCAGAGAGGGAGGGCATCGATCTGGTCTATTAGAAGTGGCATGTCCACGTGGATGTAGTAGCATCTCATTTGCGGAGTTTACAAGATACCCGGGTAAAGCGTTGTAGAGTACTAGGAGTGGTTGACGGGAGCCCCACGAGTGTCCTCCTTCATCTCCTACTAGTACCCCTCCCCCCTCTTCCCCCCCTCCCCCCACCTGTTCTGTATATCGGTCCTAATATTGCGCCATCATCATCTTTCACTAGCCTGCACCCGATGCTAGCTAGATTTCTGTAGCGCATTGAGGACAGGTACAGGCAAACTGTAGATCAAAGCCATGACCAAGTGTGTGACATACGACTTTGTAAGATGGACATGATCATCGTGAATTGGCAGCGTACCACTTTTTGTCCTTGTGACTGGTGCCTGCCATGGTGAAAGGCGACCCGCCATCATGGTACCCGTCCTTCATCCATCACGGTCTTCACTAGTTCCATATATAAGCCATATCACGTTCCATGTAGCAATGGAATTTTTGCCCTGTTCACCATCTCAAAACTGTACAAAAGTGGTTGGTACCCACAGCGCTCTTCTTCTCGACACATTGAGTGCAGTCGCGCACTTGGTCACCATCATCCCGCCAGACTCGCTCCAACCTCAATCTCCCTTGGCCCTAGCGCACACAGGCATAACCCTACTCAGGTTTGGGCCTTTTCACTATCATGACTTTGTTTTCAGACTCATCAGTATACCGAAATTTCCTCGTCTCGCCACTGATCCCCCCAGAAATTGTTCTACAAACAATTCAGCACATTCCATTTGGCAATGGAGCCCTGATGTCTGCTCTTCGCAATGCGCATCCACGGTTGCGTACACTGATGAGCACGTATGAACAATCACTCGCGCGCTACTTTATGCAAAACGAGCTTCGCCACGCGGAAAGAGATTTTGCATGTGAGGGCGACTTTAGTTTCGACTGGCTGGCCGAGTGCGTTCGAAACTACGACATGATAGACGACGTTATGGACGCTCTCTGCTCAGACCACAACTTCAACGCCATCATGCCCCACAATACATTTCTGGCCTACACAGGGCTATTACTGATACACAGGATGTCTTTGCTCGGTGAGTCGTTGCCCCTTTGGCAAAGCAGGTTTTGTGCAAATGATTGACACAGAAGGTTTTTAGAAAAGTATGGAGATGACAGACAGGGTTACATTGAGTCATTGCAAAGAGATGGGTTGATTGCCATCTACCTGGTGCTCCACCACTCGACACTGGCAGCGCGGTACCACGGGTCTGGCTGGATCAGTCAGCGCACATATGGGCACTGGATGCAAACGGAGCACTTTGAACTACGCAATGAGCTGGAATTCTGCTTTGCCGAAGCAGCACTGAGCATCGGTCCCGAATTCATTTCTGATACGTTGCTTCACCATGACCAATCGGATTGCGAGGCAACGTTGCTCAACTTTTATCACGACTACGGCATTCATGATTGGGAATGGCCGTGTTTGGATGCCAGGGGCGGGTTTGAGCCACCAAGGACGCAGGGACCGCAGAGGAAACAGGATAGGAAGGAGAGGAGCTTATTTACGACTTTGCTCAAGTGTCTGGCGGAACGAATGCAGTGCGAATTGGGTCATGTGAGGGAACGGGTGGAGCGCAATCTTGAGAACCCACGTCATCCTTTGGCAAATCTGACTCTAGGCGGCAAGCAGCGGTTGCTCAAAGGCAAGGATTTGGATGAGAGATGAACGTTGGCAAGGCTAAGGGTAGACATGGGTTTCGGGGAACATGAATGTGTCTTTTTTTCGTTTTCAAGTGCCGATATTCCATGGTTCTTGCTTGTCCTAGACATGGTAGCTAAGAAACATCTGCGTACACATCTGTTCTCCGTGTCATGGGCACATCTTTGCGCAGATTCTCAACGTAATCAAGGTCCAGCTCGGCAACGGCAATCTCACCTTCATCGGCCCATTTCCCATCTTTGCCCTCATCGCCTCCGAGTTGAGCAACGATTTTGCCCCATGGATCCACAATCATACTGTGTCCATAACTCCGCCTCTTGGCCTGGTCATCGTGAATTCCAACCTGGGCAGCAGCGATGACGTAGCTCTGCGTCTCAATGGCACGGGCACGCAGCAGTATTTCCCAATGGCCGGCCTTACCCGTTGGCGTAGTGAAAGCGGCCGGATACAAGAGCACCTGGGCGCCTCGTCTCCTGAGGGCAAGCGCGGGCTCGGGAAACCGCAGGTCAAAACATATCTGCATGCCTATCTTGCCCACGGGGCTTTCAAAGGGATGGCCAAGCTGAAGGCCACGTTCGACGCCATCTGATTCTTTCATCTGGGGGCCATCCTTGACGTCCATGTCGAACAAGTGTAGTTTCTGGTAACGGTGGGATATCTCTCCCTGGGGAGTGATCCAGATGAGGGTGTTTTTCACTTTTTGTGCGTCAGAGGAGGCGGGTTCGTGGATGCCGACGGAGATGGCGAGATTGTATTGTTTTGCGCAATCTTGCAGACCGAGGACGAATTCAGAGGTTGTGACTGGTTTGCAGAGCTGGAGGCCACCAGAAGTGGTGATGTAGTCTGCCGCCTAAGAAGAAAAAAGAACAAAAGGTTGGCCATGTGAAGTGGGTAGACGAAGAAGATGGAGCAGAAGGGCTTACTTCTGGGAGGAAGAGGGCTTTTGCGCCGGCTTGGTGGGCTTTGCGGCAGAGGGATTGGGCTTGGGTCAGATTGGAGGCCATGGAGGCCGTGGAGCGCATCTGGCCGACTGCCTAGAGGGAGTTGTTAGGGCATGGGATTGTCATAGCAGACGGCAACAATAGGGCAACTTACTGCGCGTGTCATTTTGAGCGATATGGGCATGGACTTGAGGAGGAGTTTGTGTGTAAAAGAGCAGCGAGGGGGACTTTGAGCATGGACATGGGCAAAAGCAACAGGGCAAGGCCGGCCTGACGTGGTCAGAGACGGCAGAGGTGATGCATGAGTTCCGATACAAGAACTAGGCCAATTGGAGCAGGCATCGTGGAAATGGCGACAATCTTGGGGGTTGGGTCAAAAAGCACAAGTAGGGCGGGAGAGGATGTAGGGAGATGGCAAGCCGAGGGCTGTTAGCATCCAAGTACTTGTACGACTACGGAGCACCAGAGATTGACCGCGGACACTTGGCCGAGACTAGCCAGCGACATGGATGTATACATGGACATGTGCTGTATACATGTGTTGTATACATGTCCATGTGCAATCCGCCCATCCCCTGCCGTCGCCCGCAGATCAAGGCGGAAGGGCGGCCAGCCGGCGTGTGATTGGCGTCAGCAAAGGCCACCGACACGAACCACGACGGCGTCCGTTAGCCGTCCACACGTACAAGTGTACTTGGACATGGTTGAGTCCATACGGCTGCATGCATACACATATCCAGAGAGACGAGCAATTGCAGCCGACGCAGCATTCAGCATTCGCGCCCATTTCTGCGTCCAACACCAGCCAGCCCATGTCTTAGCTGCGCATTCCCTGTGTCACCACCACCACCATCCGACCAGCCTGGCCTCTTTGCGCACTTGAGCAATGCACCCCCACGGGCAACGGACCAGTGCACGGTGAAGGCTAGCAACGCTTCCCATACGTCACCACACGCGCTGCCATTCCATTGGCAAAAAGTAAAAAGCGAGCAACATGAGCGGCAAGGGCTGGTGGAACAACGCCCTCTCTGGCCTCGAATCGCGGCTCGACACCATCCTGGCCGAAGATGGCTCTACGGGCCCAAAGCCAGCGGCGACAGACAAAGCAGCAGCGGCCGTGGACAAGAAGCTGGCGGTGGAAGCTGGTGGGTAGCCCCAGAGGCCCAAGGTAGCAGCAAGCCCCATGGATGCTAATCGCCCAGAAGCCTCGCGGAACCCGTCACGGAGTAGACCAAACTCTCGACTACAGGACCGCCTCGCCAAAGCCGTCAACAAAGCAACCGACCGCTCCGACTCACGCCCCTCGTCCGATCTGGGCTCCCGGCCAGAGAGCCCTGCGTTGCCCACTTCTCTCCCACCAGCGGCAGACACATCGCGCACAAGCATAGACTCAAAGGCCGAGGAGCCCACCGCCCCCGCCTCACTGCCAGACCAGCATGGCCCCTCCAAGCCAGACGACATGGCCGTCCCCGAGCCAGCACAGCCTGCTCGAGAAGCAGCTGCGCCCGTGATAGTAGACCAGCCAGCTTCCACTCCCATCCCCACCATGTCCATGCCATCCATGCCCGCCATCGTTGCCCCGCAGACGTCCTCGCCCCGCCAGTCCTTGGACAGCATCTCTTCCCGGCCTTCAGTCGACGCAATCCCCCCAGCCCCACCTACTGAGCCCAGAGACGCCGACCAAATCCAAGCAGACTCGTCTCTCTTGCAAAACACCTACGACGAGACTATGCGTGATAGCCGCGAAGAAATCAATACACATCTCGAACGCATCGATGCGCTGCAGTCAAAACTGTCCTATCTTTCAGAGCAGCTTGCTGCATCTGCAAAGTCCGCCTCGTCGGATAAGGACGCGACCTCGACGGATAAGAAGTTGGCAGACAAAGATGCGCAGATTGCCGCTCTCATGGAAGAGGGCCAGAAGCTATCCAAGACGGAGATGAAGCACATGACTACCATCAAGAAAATGCGCGCCAAGTCGCAAGAGCAGGAAAAAGAGATTACCTTGCTCAAGCAGCGATTGGCAAAGGCCGAGAAGAGCATCACAGAGCAGTCAGAAAGAGCGCGTCGCGCTGAAGCTGCTGAAAAGTCTTCGCAGGAAAAGTTGAAGATTGTCGGCAAGATCGAAAAGGACATCGAGACCATCAGAGCAGAACGTGAAGAAGCAGGAATGACAATATCTGAACTGCGCAAGCAACTCAATGACGCCCTGTCGCGCGCTGAGGATGCTGAGAAGAGAGTGCAATCTGGCGCACTCGAAGCAGAAAAGAGGGCGACGGCATCATTGCAGGAGGATATTGAAAATCTGCGGATAGAGAAGAAGCTGGCAGAAGATCGTGCCAAGAAGGAACTTCAAGCTGCCAGGGACGAAGCTAAAAGCCAACAGGAAAAGGCACAGGTCGCTGAGCTGGAGCTGCGTGGCGAGATTGCGGTAAGTCAAGTCGATGGCTGCATGCAGACGCATACTAATGCACCATCTAGAATCTTGAATCCAAGCTGGAACTTCTTCGCAGCAGGACCGAAGAGGTTACTTCATCCGCCACTGGTGACTCTCAGGCCAAGCTTCTCCGGCAGATTGAAACCTTGCAAACACAGTACTCGCTTGCTTCCGAAAACTGGCAAGGCATCGAGACAACCTTGACCTCTCGTGTTGCCGCGCTCGAAAAAGACCGTGATGAGACGGCCAAGCGCGAGTCCGAGGTCAGACGAAAAGCGAGAGAAGCCAACTCAAAAGCACGTCGACTGGAAGACGAGCTTGAAAGTCTCAACGAGCGCACTCGTACCCTTGAACATGACTTGAACGAGCAACGTACTGCGGCTCAAAAGCTACAAGTCAAGCTTGCCCAAGCAGAAACTGCTGCCCAAGATGCGCGCGCTGACTTGGACAAAGAGAGGAAGATTTGGGAGGCCGAGTTGCAGCAACGAATTGAAGAGGAAAAGAGCAAATGGAAGGCAGAATCACAAACGCCATCTCTAGCTGGTGACAGTCTCCATCTGCGAACAGACTCGCCTTCGCTAGCCCAGCGAAGACACTCGCCAGACCCGTTGGGCATCTACACTCGACGACCCAATCCACGGACCACGTCAAGTGGCATGGACACGGCCCTTTCGCCCATAGAACGCATGTTCGATGATGCCTCGCGCCGTCCATCCAGCTCACGGCAGGCCAAGTCCACCTCAAGGGTGCGCACACCTGAAATCGGAACTCCCCAAAGACAAGACTCGATACCCTATAGCATGGCCAGTCTCAACGGTCTAGCCTCAGCAACGCTCGAAACCCCTTCAATCCACACACTTGACCCAGAAAATATGGACTCTTTTGACACTGCATCCTCGCCACATCGCACCATTGCCGACATGGTCAGCGTGTCCACCATGGGCGCCGGCCCCTCTGTTCAACTTGTCGAGCGCATGAGCGCCGCCGTGCGCCGCCTGGAATCTGAAAAGGCAACGCACAAGGAAGAAGTTGTGCGTCTGACTGCCCAGCGCGACGAGGCGCGCAACGAAGTCGTCAAGCTCATGCGTGAGGTAGATGAGGCCAGGAAGCAAGGGGAAAAAGTGACCGACTTGGAAAGGAGACTGTCCGAGATGGAGAATAGAGAAGGCACCGCCTTGGAGATGCTGGGTGAGAAGACGGAGAGGGTAGAGGAGCTCGAGGGCGATGTGCGCGAGTTGAAGCGAATGTATCGTGAGTTGGTGGATACGATGAAATAGACATGACTTGAATAATCAAACGAATGAAATCAAACACTATTCTGTTCCATGTTCTATCTTCTTGATCCAAGCAACATATATCTAGACCGTTGGGCAGCGAGTAAGACGCTTCGCCACAGCCATACGTGCTAGGCTATTCACATTTTCCCCTCTTTCTTCTTCTATCTCTCTCTCTCTCTCTTTATATGCATCACTCTTAGTACTATCACATAGACTTGGATATCTTACCAGTTGAAGAACAAAATCATCACTCTTGTAGTGGCGAACGACTAGTATTAAAGTACTAATTTTGTCTAGTTGAATACTTTGGTTTCGATAAATCTACAACGAGTTAAGCTAATCGCTTTGACTTGGTAAAATTCAAGCGCACGGTAGCAAAGCTGCTAAACAGGAGATGGGAAATGCCCTTCTCTTGAACGATATTGACGTGATGATGAAACAACAAATTGGCCTAGATCACAATGGGGGTTGTCTGAGGCCTGGGTAGAGATGGAAATTGCCAGGTTGGCTAGGAAAGGAGAACATTCTCCGGCATGTCAAGTCAGCCAAGCGAGGAAACAAGTGAGAGCGGTGTTGTCATTGACGCATCCAACCCTTAAAAGTATCATGCGCGCCATCGTTTTTCATCAATCGGCATGGGCAAATTTTATGATTCATATTCCTAGATAATACTTGCCACGTTCATATGCAAAGAAGCTGACTGCGACCATGGGCACAACCTTGACATAACCAATCGTTAAGCCAACAAAAAAGCCCTTGTATCCTCTCTCAAGATAAATCCTTCTTGTCACTTCAGGCATGCTCAATCTATGGCCATCGCCAACGACGCCACCGACTTGCATGCGCCGCCGGATTACTTCAAGCGGATACGAGACAGTCTGGGAGACGAAGCCAGCAATGCCGCCAGTGGTCAGCTCAGCCCAGTAGCGGAGCTGAGCGGGCTTATGTGTCGAAGTACTTGTTTCCTCGCGCGACGTGTTGGGCAAGGTAGTGTAAGGGGCGAGTAGGGGTATGCGCATCAAATCAGACATGAGGTCATGAGCGAGAAACGAGGCGCCGGCATAGGGTATCATGCCAAGCAGAGTAGGGGTGAAGCCGCGGAAGAAATTCGGGAGGCCGGAGCGTGGGGTGACGGTATCGACGAGGTGCGTGGCAGTTGCAGTGATTGGGTTTTCCGGCCGGTGGACGCGGGGGGCCTGCTCCGAGTAGATTTTGCGGACAATGGTGGCCAGACTACTTCGTGCGTTTTCGTTGGTCTCAAAGGCCAGGCGCACGCGGATGACTTCGAGCGGGTAGGTCAAAAAGACGCTCATCATGCCGGCTAAGCTGCCCGAGACAAAGCGGCGGACGGGCGTCTCCTGTGCCTTGTTCTTGATGACACGGGCGCGTATCTGCTCGTAGGCGAGAAACTTGACGCCTGCGTAGGGGAAGATGCGCAGAAGGGTGGCTGAGTGGCCCTTGAACAGACCTCGCACTCCAGCAGTGGCGTAGATGTCGCGCATGGCCGCCGGGAAGCCGGCCCAGGAGCCTGTATATTTAGCAAACTGCGGGTTGCGCGTCTGGAATAGGATCTTGACGCGGTCGAGGGGCCCTACGACCGTCTTGGCCTGCCATGTGCACGTTAGCAGATGCCATGGAGAGCGTTGAAGACACAGGGCCCGAGGAACATACTGCACATCCAGCGAAGCCACCCGCCAGCCCGCTCTTGATGACGTACTCGGTGCTCTTCTTGTCCGTCTTCTTCTTCTTCTTGTCCTTGTTGTTCATATTCGTCTGCTCGTCCCTCGAGGGTGGCGGAGCGGCTTCATGGCTGGAGATGATGGAGGTTGCGCGGGAGGGTTGCGCGGCAGTCATTGACATGATATTCGGCGTGTTTCCGTCATGGCGGAGGAGGTGCGTGGACATTCCAAACGGGCGTGGATGGGCTACCGCGACATGAGGGGGTGTTTGTGGTCAAGGATAGGCAGGGCGTGATTAGCAGAAAAGCGGGCGTGGTTGTGTGGTGTGCATGGTTTGGCCACGGCAATGACGTTGCCGAGGCTGCTCTGTCTCCTCCGGCCGCCCAGACACTCGACGCTCCACACATCCGACCCGACGCTACCCACCGGATATGTTTTCCACACTACCACCACCACCACCACGCGCCTCTCCCACCGCGCAGTCGGCCCCTCACGTGCCAGACCCCATCATCTTCCAGAATGCCGACGCCGACATCACTCTGGTCGACATACCGGCGTCCATCGTGGCAGCCCAGGGCGACCGCTCTGACGTGCTCTTGTCCACTGCGCCTCTAGAAGAGCCCATTCAGCTCAGACAAGACTACGAGCCCAAGACACAGAAAACACGGGCGCAAGCAGCCAAAGTCCATCATGGCGACAGCACGCAGCAGAATGAACATGATTTGCAGTCCCTCCATCTTGACGATGCTGGATACAAACTCCTTGTTGAGCATGCACTCGCTCAAATACGTGCACACGTTTCGGGGCCATGGTGCATGCGCCGTCAACTCATGACCCAGACGTCTCGGTCTGCACAAGATGGGGCCATGGATCTGGACAGCCCCTCGGAAAGGAATCTGGAGTTGTGCATGCGAGAGTGGGCCTCACGGAGCCAAGCGAAACAAGACGACATGGCGTTCAATCTGCAGCAGATGATGGCTTCGCTCGGTGCAGCATCTGAGCCCGCAGATTCGGCTGCAGCCGCAGACAAATGCATCTTGTCGTACCGCCATGCACCTGTAATTGAAAGTAATACACAGGCTGCCGATAGCGTCACCCAAGAGACACAGACGGTGCCATGGACATGTACCTTTCACAATCCCAACCAGCACTCACTCGAAGCCACAATCACTGACAGGACGTTGCAATCTGCTTCCTCGGCTCAAGACTATCGTTTTGCCATTCCGCCGCGGGCCACGCTCTTTCTGAGCGACTCGACTGCCTCGGATGCCTTCCGTTGGTCGTTTCGTCGACTCACAGACGAGTATTCGCTTGCACGGCATTTTGACCTTGTACTACTAGATCCACCATGGCCGAATCGGTCGGCCAAGCGCAAAGGCACGTACGAGCAGGTCGGAGGTATGCCGTACCTCAAGCGAATGCTACTCAACATGCATCTCGACATGTACCTGGAACACAACGCACTGGTGGGCGTTTGGGTCACCAACAAGCCATCATTAAAGCAACATGTGCTCGGTCCCGGCGGGCTGTTTGAGGCGTGGAACGTGGGACTAATGGAAGAATGGATATGGATCAAGACGACGACCAAAGGCGAGCCCATGTTTGATATTGACAGCCCCATGCGCAAGCCCTATGAGATGTTGCTGCTGGGTCGTGCAGCACCAAACTCGTGGTCACGCATGGCACATGCACCTGTGGTCAAGCGCAGAGTCATTGCCGCCGTGCCAGACGTACACTCACGCAAGCCCTGTCTCAAGTCCTTACTCGAACCCTATTTGGTGGACCCAACAGACTACACTGCGCTCGAGGTGTTTTCTCGCTACCTAGTCAGTGGTTGGACATCATGGGGAAATGAGGTGCTCAAGTACAACTGGGACGGCTACTGGGTCAAGGCCGGAAGTGCAGAGAACTAAAGAGTAGCAAATCGTCAATTCATTCTGGGAAGCAAATTCTTTTTGCCAGGTGTCAGTGCAGGAGTACGTGTAATCTGAAAACACACACACGTATACATGGACATGTTTTGCATTATTTCGTCATTCTCACTCTTTTTTTTTTCTCTCTCTCTTTCTTCTCGATCTTCACAGGGGCCCAAGTCCATTATGACGAAACAGATCTTCAGGAAGGGAAACTTTTTCGTGTGGTGTAAGGATTGTCGGGGAAGGGTGTTGTGGCAAAGCGAACACCCTGTTCTCACAGTCTCTCCCCGCAGTGGGTACATGCCACGACCGTTTGACCGCCAGCCGCTGATGTTGTGCATCCGACCATGTCTGGAGTTAATGGAGACAAAAAAGGACGTCATAGCGGGGACTGGGGAAGACTTATCTCGGCGCATCTCATATTTGCGGAGTAAATAGGGCCGAAGGAAAGATACGAGCGAATACAGGAGTAACCCAGCAAAGATGGACATGAAGTAGATGTCCGAACTTCGGGGAGTTTTTTTTTCTTCTTCTCTCCGAATGAGTCCGGGGGGCTGCTGGTATCCCTTAGCCGATTGTAGTATACCCGGTTGCAGATTCGGAGTAAGTATGGAGATGAATAGTTGTGTGCATGACGTCAGCGCCCCTCCCCTCTATCTCTTTCTCTCTTTTTTCTCAATCACATCATCTCGTATTCAGAGTGCACATGTGGTGATGAGGCGTGAGGAGAAAAGGAAGCAACTGGAAAGAAGCCAGGGTTATACATAGTGATATGTAGTGCAGTAGGAAATATGTCGACGTGTGCGACCACGCATTCAGCTGCATGACATCACCTCATACTGTTACAGTAAGCCGGGTGCGGGTGCCAGTACCCCGGTTTCCCACTCTCTGTACTTTCTCCCCGGCTGCCAAGCAGTCAGAGACCCGATGTTCCCCGCCGCCACTCTTCGCCGCCAAGAGATTGACTGCGCGTTATCGGACTTGTGCGTATACTACATGCTTTTTGTTCTGGGCGGGCGTGTGGGTAGCGAGAGATTTGTTAGCGAGGGGCGCAACGTCCATGCGGATCATGGCAGAAGATGAATACTAGTCCAGTCTAGGGCATGCCGAACCCTCTCTTACTAAGTAGGTGTACTCGGGTATTACCCAGGAGTAAAAAAAAAGAAAGGAAAATGCTGTCTGACCCGGGCGCAGGCGCAGATGACTGATGATGGCAAACATGGACTCTGCGGAATCCCTTGTTTTTTCGTGGAACTTGCCCTGTTCAGCGCACAGGCTTACGTGCAGCGTTGACAACAAAGACAAGGCAGACAAAGGTGCTGATATGTAAGTATGACTCCTTGTTCCCTGTTGAAGAGCGCGATACTACCCATTGTGCCCACGCCTCACCTGGATGCTTCCTCCCCCAGCAATGACACATCATCGCTCAACGGTTGAGGCCACCAGGATCGGAGAATCGTATCCTGAATCTAGTAGTGTGTGTTTGTGTTTCATTGTTTATGCGCCACAAGCGGGAATGCCGCAGACCGCATGGTGCTGCTGCTGTTGCCGCCCCGACTAATGCATTACACAGCTGCATGCTGCATGCCTTGCCTTGACTTTGCGTTTCGAGATAACAAAAAACATGGCGGTGACTCACCGCTCCCAGTGCTTCCCGCTGCGGGCCTAATCGAGCACTCGTTTTTTTTCTTCTTGGAATCTTTTTGATCTTATTTCGTTTTGATGTGTTGAGACTTTGTTTTGGGAACAGGCTTGCATGTATGCAATCGATCGATCGATCGATTCTTGGAAGGGAGTGGTTTGGCTGTGTTCTTTTTCCCCTCCCGATGAGCCGGTGCTACGATACTTTGCTTCTTTTCATGGGGGGAGGGGGCGGCAGAGGAAGAGGGGTTCGCTTTGCCGCAAGCTACAAAGCCAAGCATATTTGTTCTGCTGATACACGCTTACATTGGTTTGTGGTGAGGGATGCGCGTGTGGGGGGTTGCTGACTATCAGTAGTCATCCGATTGATGGTTTGCGCGATGTGGTAGGTAAGATTCCGGGTGCGAGTGAGGGGCCTACCGCGGCAAAGACGACAAGTCAAAAAAGCCATGTCGCAAAGCCGAGTGCGGAGAAAGTGACCACGCGCACGGGTCGGCATTGGTGGGTAGCAAGTGTTTTCCCGGGGCATTTAGTAGGCGGGCTGCATCCATCCAGACTACGCGAGTGCACACACATGCTCGTTCACAGTAACAATTCTCCGTGTGCAGCAACCACCGGGTGAATGTCACGGGCGGATAGTAGATGGAATGTCGTATGTACGGTACTGTAGGTGCAGAGTGGAGTGTAGGCGTATTCGGCCTAGACTCCGCTCCGCCCGTTTGCTGTGCCACCATACAAATGCAGGGCAGCAGCGGCTGCCTGTCAATGCCGTGGGCGGGTCTGCTTCCCAGATAGGAAAGTGCATGAGCACCGCGTGGGTTTACTATGGACAGAGAGGTTGGCTTTGCTCCAGGGCCGGATGGAGTGCTTTCTTCGGGCCTGAGTAAGTGCAAGGGCATGTGTTTTTTGCTTCCTGTTTTTGCGAGGGAAAATTCTGAAATGAAATATGGCGCCCGCGCATTGTTGCTTCCAGCTGGTCTCCACCGGAGCGGGATGGATGCGACGCAAGCAGACGTAGTTGTCTTGGAGTGCACCAGGACGAACCGCAGCGAGCAACCACAGCTCCACAGCCACAGCACCCGGCCGGTTTTCGCCAGTGGCTGTGGGCCAATCAGTGCGCAGCCGCCTGAGTCGCAGCGCGCCCAACGAAAACGGGACGGAAGAGGGCTTGCACGTGTGTCCACATCGGAGGCCGAGTTTTTCCCAGCCCGCGCAAAGGCAGCGACTTTTGGCTGAAAAGCTTCTAGGGCGGCAGCACGATGATGCACCCTGGCCCACTCGAGCGCACGTCTTTGTCGGCCGCCAAGTGGGGAGTCGACAGAAACTTCAGACACGGACTGCATGTTCTGCAGCACGGAGCCATGTCGGTGCAATTGCGACGGGGAGCGTCATGGCATGTGCAAAGGACAAGGAGAGGGAGAGACGACGGGCCGCGGCAGAGTTACTTTGCTGGCTTGCTGATGACGCTGGAGCGGGAGCGGGCTAGGGGGAGAAGCAGAAGGGCGCAGTGCAGACCCTGCATTTGCTTCTGCTTCTGCTTCTCCTGTACCGTACTGTCGTTGCTGTACCTGCCCGCGCCTCCCGAAACCCGCAACTCGAAACGGAGCGATAGTGCCGGGCGAGGCCAGACGGGGGGCACAAGGTTTGGTTTGCCCTTTTGGCCGCACCTTCCAAACATAGACGCCGCACTACGCGCACCAGATGCGCCAGCTGTGGCCGGCAACGTGGCCGACGAGCCAATCTCTCCACGGTAGTGGCAGTCGTAGTACTACTATGTACAGTAGGTCCCAGAGCATCGCCATGGCAGTTTGGTCGGCGCGTGTGGGCATGCAGGTCAGTATTTGTGGGCGCTCGAGGCGAGGCGCACGACCGGCCTTCTAGCGGCGGTTCCATGGAAGAATGGAAGCGGAGCAGCGTGGCATCCAAGGCCAAGTCGAAGAACCATCCCCAGATCCGCACGGGCGCGCACGCACCGCACGACGAGCCCAAGTGCCACGCGCCGGATGCAGGCAAAACGGCTATAGTAGCAGCCTGGCCGCGTCCGCGACAACCGTCGACATCAACGACGGGCCTTTGTGCCATTGCGTCTGCACTACAGGCCGAATATAGCACGACAGGGCTGATGGCTGACGACGGATGGCTGCTCTCTGCTGGGCCGCTGGTTGAAACAAATGTTTGGTGCTGTGGGTGCCGCCAGGCGAAAAGGGGGGCCCCGTGGGCTGTGTGTGGGCCGGCCGTCCGCACGTCTGCTACTACATACACTCGATACTAGTAGTGCTATGTACATGCATAGTACCACCACGACCACTACCACCACTACCACCACTACCACCACTACCACCACTACCACCACTACCACAGACTACAATACACTGTCCGCCGAGTGTTTGTGTCCCAGCCCAGACTCCGGATCCGCGTCCGCATCAGAGCATCGTGGCCACGGAGGGTTTCGCTGGGCCGGGCTTATTCCACTCTGGGCCCAAGGGCAACTCGGCTGACGCCCAGCCAGTGCTTATGGCGTGCATAGTGCCAGAAACACATGTCGGGCCGGCAAGTATTGTTCCACGGCGACTCGGTGGCAAGGGACATGTATGGACACGGTGTAGTCTGGCAAAAGGGCCTGCCGACTCTACGCCTATACTATCTGCTGGTAGCAGTAGAGTGCACCTGCGCCTGGGTGAAAGGAGACATTCTTGGTTCACGGCGTGCTCGTGACAGGCCCCGCAGGCTAGAGACGACGAGCAACCATCCATCTGTCCACTGGACCCTTTGATCGGCCATGCAACTCAACTGCATGTGATTGCGACACCCGGTGAGGCGACGTCGCAGGTTTTGCAAGTGCAAGTCGCACGTCGCAGGCGCCAGCCCTGGCCCGTGAGACATGGAGAAGCTTTATCGAGGCCGAGTGTTTCGACATGTGTCTGCGTGGGTGGGTGGCTAGCAGCTGGCAGCCAGCAGCCAGGGCGCCGTCCACGCATCTGAGTCACCAGGCGAGCGGGACGAGGTGGCATTCGACAGATTAAATTCATTGGCCTCTGTGCGCTCGCTCTCTTGGGCAGCAGCAGCAGCAGCAGGGCGCTCGCACTCGCAGGGCGGAGAGGCGGACAGACAGCCGGGGGCGTGCGCTTGTGCTTCCTTTTTTGCCCACGCCAGAAGCCGGCGGGTGAAGACAGCAGCGGCGTGGGCGTGGGCGTGGGAGTCAGGATACCGGGGGGGGGGCGTAGGGCAAAAAGGGTCTCCCTTCTGGTGCTGCCATGATCCCCGAGATGATCCTCTGTCTGACCCCTTACTGCATCCGGCAAAACCACCAATCTTATCCGCATATGCCCTCGCGAGGAGCCGGGCGTGGCGTGCATATGAGTCGTCGGCGCTGTTTCCGCTGTCACTGTCACACCCACCCACACACACATGCATTCGTACGTACTGCTACACACACTCGCAGCGCCTCCCCCCACCGCCACCCCCCTCGCTCGCCCCCATGCCCATGGCCATGCCCCTGTGTCCGCACAGGCGTGGGTGGATAGGGCGCTTTTCCTCGTCGATTTTTTCTTCTTGAATTTTTTTTCTTCTGGCGTCGCAGGGCGTAGGGGGGTGGGTACACCCTGGGCGGACTAGCATGTGCAGGTATATGCGTATGTGTGTGTGCGTGTGTGTTGTAGGCAGCCGGGAGAGAACGGGGCGGAGGGGAGCAGTAGCCGGAATTGGGCATTGTTTGCAAAGGGGCGGTCTGAGCGGGCTGCGCGGCCGCGGTTCCGCCAACCACAGGCCTCGCCTTGCAAAGAGCGGTCGCTCACCGACTCGTGCCCCCAAACGCAAATCACACACTGCCCACGGCGCCCAAGGCCAGCCCAGGCGTTTTCAGCGCGGTCCGGAGCGAAGGCGCAATAAGGGAACAAACTCTCAGAGACGGGCAGATATATGGAACAAGCCTTCCGTCTTCCCCATGGCCAGACCGCCCTCTGATCCTCGCCCGCGACGCTGCAAATTGCTTTGCCTGACTCGAACGCCTGACCCTTCCGTGTGTGTGTAGATGCACATGTGTGTGTGTGTGTGTGTAGAACCTGCGACATATAACAACCCACACCGTCCCACCTGCACCCGCTCTGCTCTGCATCCTCGACCAACTACCCTTCCCATCTCGCTCTCCGATACGAGGCCCGACGCTACCCTTGTTAGCACCGGCAACCTTGTTCTGGCCATCCACATCGGCGTCATACATCATCAGCCCGCTTCCAAGCTTTCGCGCCCTCGGTCCAGTTGCCGGCACACGTTGCTTGACGAAAAAATCACGAAAACCACAGTAACCACCTAGCGCCGAAAGTGCCCGCAAGTCTCTATATACACAGGACCCACCCCCTACACACCTCACCACCCACAACCTACCATGCATTTCGATCCATCACCAGCCTCGTCGCCCTCAAAGTCCATGCCCATCAGCATCTCGCCAAGAAACAACATGTCGTCGCCTACCAGCTCCCTCTACAGCACCTGCTCGACCGAGTCCTTCTCCACCCGCGGCTCTTCGTGTGCCTACCCATCATGGCCCACCGGTCCCTCGCTTGACCACCGCAGTCCGCCATCGTCTTACATTAGCGATGCAGACCTGTTTGGCGAGGACTTTGACGACGACTTTGCCTGCCCGCTCCTCGAGGAGGCACCAGCACCGCCCCGTGTGCCCCCCATGGCCCAGGCCTTTCCCATTCTGCCTCCACTGTACGCGCAGAAGAAGCCAAAGAGCGAGCGCCGCCGCAGCAGTGGCCGCAAGCAGCGCCGCAGCTCCAAGCCCATGACTCCCATTGCAGAGTCACCCGAGCAGGTTGAATGAGCGCCCGCCACCATGACTTGCTGAGCGATTATCATCATCCTTACTATCGCAAGTCGTCATGACTGCGCCCAGTCACGCCGCCGTTCTGATGCATGTTTATCAGTCGGCTCTTGACAACCATCGACGTCACACTTGCACGCGCACGCGCGCGCGTGTGCACATCGCGCTACCACCTGCGCTGCTCAGGTCACATGAGCCCCATCACGTGCAGCCCCATGGCAATCACCCTCGGCTGCTACCATTACTACTATCCTACTACTACTAAGCCATTACCGCCTGACGCGCGACAGGCGGTGCCTCCATCTCTCACACCGCCGCAAACCTTGCCTATTTGTCAAGGTTGTGGCAGTGCTCACATCCAGGCGCAGCCCATGCTGCGCCAATAGTACCGTGCACACTGTGCGCGCATGGCTCGACTGGCGCTCCGCCGGTTGCGACCGCAGTCGAGCCTTGTCGAATCACGACGGAAAGAGACGGAACAGGAACATTCCGCCTCGCCACCGCATGTTTTGCATCTTATGCGGCAACGCCGGCTGGCGTTTTATTCCTATCGAGGACCGGACCTCGGGGACATTTGGGAAGCATAGCGAAGGAACTCGGGCATTTACATTCGGCGTCTTTGTTGTTTTATTTTTGTTGGCAGTGTTGTTGGAAACACTTGCTCTGGATACCCCCCAACCCCCACCCCCCACCCCTGCGAGACGGGACTTGCGAGGATTTGTTTGATTTTGAACCCTCGTGTGGCTTAGATTTCGCTTCGCATTTTTCTTGATACCCCGCATACACCCACGCAGACACGCTCGGCATGCACCCTTTATATAGCTTTATTTAGATACCCCCCATCCATCCATCTTCAGTTGGACCTTGATCACGAATGAGAATTGTTAACACTATAACTACTACATGTCCGAAAGTGCTTCGAGGTTTTGCGTGCTGATTTGACAAAAGATGCTGTGACGAGATGTGATGGGGCTTGTGATGGGGCTTGTGATGAGGTGCTCTGCGAAATTATCATGGCATGCGACAGCGCCAAGTGCAATTGGCTGCTCATTGTCCAAGGGGCGCGCACCAAATCAAATTGGAGTTTGGACGTGGTGCAGCCATGCGGGATAAGAATTAAAAAAACGTTTGGTTTGGTAAGCGAGATATTTGTGTTTCCTGCGTAAGTAGACACCAGGCCTGGCAGGGCATTGGCATGATATTTGACGGTGTGCTGGCGGGACCTTGTCCTTGTAGTATGTATGTAAGTATCGATTATATGTGTGCATACATGTACGTCAAGTGTGAAGAAGGATGCATAATGGACTACTAGCACCAGAAGAAGCCAGCATGTCTGTCCGAATCACGGCCGATTCCGCAATCGCATCTGGACACATCCAGCGAGTGCTCAGTAAACGGTGTGAGAAAATGAAGTGATTCAGGTGTTGAGCAATCATTGCCCTTTTGTCGCTGCCGTTGATTCGACGGGCGCTGCACATCATCCCTCGCGGATCGGGGAAGCGGATCCGCGTATCAGATTGAGCCAGCTTGGAGTGGTGGACTTGATTGCACGAAAACGAGGCCGCGTCTGAAGGTCAGTAGGAAGAGTATGTGGTATGTATGCATGTATACATATGTATAGCCATGCATGGATTGTACCGGGTAGAGTGGGACAAGGCAGGTTGCAGCACGTTGCACATGGCTGCTTGCTTGGTTGCAGCTACGTGCTGGTTGTATAGTACGAGCCGGTGGGATCCAAGGCCCAGGGCAAGGCCCGAAGGACCATGGTACGGGGTGTCGGTGTGGTGTGTCTGGAGGCAAGAGTGTAAGTATACCTACCTGCAGTGTCGTCGACAGTGCCTGGACCGACCCCGATGCCACCGCCTCACATGGCCGTTCCCGAAGCATGGTGCGAGTGGGTGCGGTGGTGCAGTAGCTCGGGCGTACATATGCGAACCGTCGGGCAGCCGTGTATTGGGGCCCCCCTCGTGCCAGGGACGAGAGACGCACATGAACAGCAGAAATGAGGGTGCCCTGGCGCTACCGTCACCGCATTTTCAGAGTCATGAGAGCGCAGCGCTGGAGTTGGCAGCAGTCGTCGTCGTAGTCCGAGTCTGTGGCATCGAGTCGACCAGACGGGCAGGGCGGGGTGGGCGCTTTCACGTGGGGGCGCCGGGCGCGGGCGCTGATTGGGCAGGAGCGAGCGCGAAAGTGTGATGGTGGTGCGGCAGGCACATGGGCTGCTCGTCGTGCCTGCCTCGTCCGGCGCTGTGAGAGGCTGCCCGTCTAGTCCGCACAGGCTCGCCGGCGCCAACCTAACCACTAACGTCGCCCATCACCACCTTGGCTCCCAGGATCCTCACTTCGACACACTCGACCTTTCACACCCGGCCGCGAATGAGGCGGCGTTGCCCCAGCTCCTTTGACGCCTCTCAAATGCCCAATCGATGCTCTGCCGTCCTATTTCGAGCAAACATCTCGGCCTTCGCCTGCCCTAAGCGCCCTTACTGATAGCCGGGCCTCCTCGCGCATCAACTTGCACACTTTGTCTGCGCTTCCTGTCGCTTCCTCGTCGTCCTTTTTCGTCGCCCTCCTGTGCCTGCTGTGTCTCGTCTGTCTGCCTCTTCTTCAGCTGCTCCTTTTTGGCTCTGCTGCACAATTGCCCGCCACCCCGTCCATCCTTGCTCCATCACAACCACCAACCGAGGCGGGGCCAAGCGGTACCCTCCTCCAGACGCCGTGGAGCTGTCCGCCCATCGCCCGTCTAGCGCGCTCTTGCTCTCTGCAGTGAGTTGCAATTTGCCTCCTTCTCCTGCATGCTCCTCTTCCTCCTACATCTGCAGTTTCCCCTGATCCCCCCACCCCTCATCTCTCTCGCTCTCGCTCTCTCTCTCGCTGTGCTCTCTTTGCAACCGGAATGCGCTTCCTGCGCTCTGGCGGAACATACCCGACTAACCACCACCCGACCTCCGCACAGATCCAGCTCTCACCATGTCGACTGGATTGAGGCAGCGCGCCAACTCCAATTCTATCAAAAGCAATTCAGTCCACTCCAACGATGTCAAGCTCAAGCCCCCGACACCCGGCCAGGACGAATTTGCTTTTGAGCCCTGCGCAGCCACGGGCTCCTTCCTGCTCTACGCCCAGCGCAATGTAATCCTGTGCCTCCACCACGATACCCTGGCTGTAGAAAGGCGTTTTGAGAGACACCGTGAAGACGTCTCGTGGATATCTGTCGACACAACCAGTGAAAGAGGTGCGGGCCGGTTGGTCGTGTCGTATGACGCCGGCTCCACCGCCATTGTGTGGGACCTATTCACGGGCGATGAAGTGGCTCGCTTTGCTTCATACGAGCAAATCAGGGTCGCGACCTGGATGAGAAACGGAAATGTTGCTTTTGGTGAGTCCTCGAGTGCAGTGGTTGCCGTGTGTAATCGGCGCCAAGGTGCTAACGAGTCAACCAGGAAATGCTCAGGGCAACATCATCCTGTTTGAACCCTCGACATCCGAGCACCTCTCGGCAAGGACCATTTTCGACCCCATCACAGCACTCGCACCCGCCGCAGACTGCAGGACATTTGCCATTGGGTGCGTACCGGAGAGCTTTTGGTCCATCTCCTGAGCCCCTTTCCACTGACGTGCTCCAGCTACCTCAATGGATCCATTCTGATTGCAACCCTGCAACCTTCCTTTACCATCCTTCACACCCTCACTACTCCCAGACACCCTTCGCCCGTTGCGGGTCTGGCCTGGCATGGCTCATCATCTAAGCAAAAGTCGGAGATGTTGGCGGCCCAAACCGCAGATGGTGATCTCCGCGTGTGGAGTGTCCCCAAGGCATCTCATACAGGCGACACTCCCTGTGTGATTCGCGTTCTCAACCAAAAGGAGCAACGGGAGCCTGG